GGTGGAGGGGGGTGCGCAGGAGGAGCTGATGGAACAGTCTCTGAATGGAGCCAGTCTGCCCCCTGAGGCCATGCTTTCCACCTCTGTGTGCTTCTGGGGCTAGAGGGGTCCTTAATGGAGAAAGCGTGTCACTGGTGAATGGGTTTCACAGGTCACCCATTTCCTGGCCTGAAGCACAGCCTCTCCAACCGCTCAGGCATGGAAACGCACCTTGATGTCTGCATCCCCAGGGAGGACACTTTCCCCTGGAGAGGTCTTCTGCATGGAAGCAGCACAGGGTTTAGTTTTCACGTCCCTCTACTTACTCTGTAGGCATTAGCATAACGTATTTACTTATTTATTTTTTAATCCTCACACGAGGATATTTTTCCATTGATTTTTAGAGAGAGTGGAAGGGAGGGAGAGAGACACAGAGAGAAACATCGATGTCAGAGAGACACATATATGGTTGTGTGTTGCCTCCCACACACACCCTGACCAGGGCCCTGGCTGGCCAGGGAGGAGCCTGCAACTGAGGTAGAGAGAAACATTGATGTGAGAGGGGCACATCGACTGGTTGCCTCCCATGTGCACCCTGACCACGGCCCCAGTTGGCCAGGGAGGAGCCTGCAACTGAGGTACGTGCCCTTGACGGGAATCGAACCTGGGATCCTTCAGTCCGCAGGCAGACGCTCTATCCACTGAGCCAAACTAGGGCGGTGTTACCAGAGCTAAGCGATCACTGACTGACCTCGTGAGATTTGAACCTGAGACAATATCCAGCAGGTGTGCAGAGAAGGTCAAAGGTTGCGAGGGGCTGGGAAGGGGTGGAGGGGAAGGCTCACACTGCCCTGTCTCCCTTTGGAGGGCATGCACGGAATGAACAATGAACGGAGAAACACTTGAAGCAAACGCCCTAGCCATCACTGCTACGTGACTGCAGTGGATGCAGTTACAGATACACCGACACGGCCACACACCCTGGCCTCCAGGGAGCACAGCAAGGGCAGGGCCAGAGGAACGCAGAGGCAAGGACGTGGGCATTCACAGCAGACGAACCCGGTTCAAATCCCAGTCCTGCTGCCCGATCTCTCTGAGCGCTCGTTTGCTCACCGTTCAAATGGAACTCTATCTGTTCACAGGGAACTACTCGAGCATTAACTAAGGGCACGGATTTAAGGCCCTTGGCGCATAGCCCACACCTAGAGGTGTTATAGGAAACATCTATCCAGTTTTTTCCCTTTCTTCTTAACATACCCTCTTTCCAGAGTTCAGTATTAAAAAATTACATATATACAGGGTGTTCCTAAAAATGTATACACATATTGAAGAATTATAAAGGCAGTGTTTATTAAAATACACTTCCTTTTCAAAATTTCATAGAATCTACAGACATTGTGTATATACATTTTGGGGGTACACCCTAGATAGATAGATTTTCTTTAAAATTCTTATTTTTTTAAAAAAATATTTTTATTGATTTCAGAGAGGAAGGGAGAGGGAGAGAGAAAGAAATATCAATGATGAGAGAGAATCATTGATCGGCTGCCTCCTTCACGCCCCACATTGGGGATCGAGCCTGCAACCTGGGCATGTGCCCTGTCCAGGAAAAGAACCATGATCTCCTGGTTCATAGGTCAGTGCTCAACCACTGAGCCACGCAGGCCGGCCCGGCAAAGTTCCTATTCTGATAGTAACAACTAGCTTTATTTATTTATTTGAGCATGTCACTTAATACTAAGTCTGAGCTGGCTTAACGTACTTGTTTTTCATGTGTTTGTGAAAGCTTAAAAATAGATCGAATGTAGGGCATCATCACAGGTGCCACTGCATTTACTTAATCATCCAAAGACTTCCCAGGAAGAAGGAAAATTCGATCTGCTTTCCTTTTTCTCTCTGCAGAGCCAACACGCACTCACCTTAATGATGGACTCGGAGCAGATGGTAAGCACTTGGTGGAAGTATTTGTTGTGAAGCATGACATTGATTTCTCGCTCATGCGTGTGAGGAACCTGTTTTGTATCTTGTATCATCCTAGTCAAAGGGTACATGTCAATAACAGTAGATCCTGGGGAAAAAGTAAGAGTCTCATAAATACTCAATACTAGAAGGTTATTTTTGAACCAATATTAGAAGTTTTTTTGTTAATGTTAATCCTCACCCGAGGATATTTTTCCATTGATTTTTAGAGAGAGTGGAAGAGAGAGGAAAAGACAGAGAGAAACATCCATGTGAGAGAAACACATTGATTGGTTGCCTCCTGCACGAGCCCTGACCAGGGCCTAGGCCGGGGAGGAGCCTGCAACCAAGGTAGGTGCCCTTGACCAGAATCGAACCCAGGACCCTTTGGTCCGCAGGCTGATGCTCTATCCACTGAGCCAAACAGGCCAGGGCAATATTAGAAGTTTTGAACCACAAAGGATTTTATGCAACCAGTTGTGTTTGGAAACAGCCAATCAGTGAGACTAGTAATATCAATGCCTAGGAACTTTAATGAGGGGAAAATGCATTCATTTACTCTAAAACAATTTCGATAAATAAAGCAAATGTGATTGAGCCAGAGAAGAACATTCATTTTGGGCCGCATTAATTTTCAAGTGCAGGCCATTTGGGTCTCACTGATACCCTCTTTTCAGTGACTTCTGTTTTCTCCGATAGAGTGCCTCTCCATCTGGTGTAGAGGGAGGATGGAGATGGAAATGGGAGGTGAGCTGCCATTTAGGGATTGAAATTGATAGTTAGAGAGCCCTTTCCAACCAACGAATGCTAAAAAACAAAACAAAAACACCCACTGTAAACATGGTCTTATTAAATGTAACCAATGAGAATAATTGCAAGCTAGCGCTTGCAACATTACTATTAAATAAGATTTTTTTCCACCCTAGCTGGTTTGGCTCAGTGGATAGAGCACCAGCCTTCGGACTGAAAGGTCCCAGGTTCGATTCCAGTCAAGGGCACATGCCTGGGTTGCGGACTCGATCCCCAGTGGGGGGCATGCAGAAGGCAGCCAATCAATGATTTTCTCTGATCATTGATGTTTCTCTCTCTCTCTCTCCCTCTCCCTTACTCTCTGAAATCAATAATAATATATAAAAAAGATAAGATTAGCCTAACCGGTTTTGCTCAGTGGATAGAGCATCAGCCTGCGGACTGAAAGGTCCCGGGTTCGATTCCAGTCAAGGGCATGTACCTTGGTTGCGGGCACATTCCCAGTGGGGGGGGGGTGCAGGAGGCAGCTGATAAATGTTTCTCTCTCATAGATGTTTCTAACTCTCTATTCCTCTCCCTTCCTCTCTGTAAAAAATCAATAAAATATACTTTTAAAAAAATAAGATTATTTCCCAAATCACCATAGTGCAGTACATGGAGAGCAGGTAATTCTTACTTTCCTTCTCCTAAGGGTGTTTGGGTTGGTTTTACAGTAACAGGCTAATCTGCAAGTATGATTTGACTCTCAAGATCAATGAACCATGTATCCTGGTTGAGTATAACGTCTGGGAATATAAATAAGAACCCCAAAGCATCCCATAGGTCAAACAAAAATAAATCCTCTTTCCTGTTTTGTTTTGTGTGTTTTTTCCAATGTGGATTTCCCCCTTTGCATTGAGTTTCTAAAGTCTCTCCCAAGAAATCTCAACGTTACGAAACATTCCAGCAGGAGTTTCGAGTTACTAAACTCTTCCCTCAGGTGTTCAAATTTTAAGAGAAAACCTACTCGTGGGTAAAGGACTGTGAGGAATATTTTTCAATCCAAATACCTCAAGATGGAACTAGGAGGAATATGGTAACCAACCAGTCAAACAACACTCGAAGCTCCTGGCCCTAATGAATCCCAGGGGAAGTCGGAGCAGGTGGTCACTGGGAAATTGCTCAGGGAATGCATTCCGGGTTGGTGTTCCAGAAGGAAGTTGTATTGTTAATATGGTTCATTTTTCCTCCAAAGCCCGAGGGTATGTGCGTGAACAGTGCTCAGCTGTGAGTGCCTCTTTAGTAAGCATGTGTTTCTAAGAGGCAACAAGAAAAGAAGGCACCGAATCTGTTGGCATCAGCTCTGGGTATCTGTCACTTGGGCCTCTCCTCTCTCTCTCTACTTTGTCCAGAAGTAAAGGCAGGTAGGAAGGAGGGCAGCACCCTTATTACTGTGTAAGTCAGTGATGGTGAACCTATGACACGCGTGTCGGAGGTGACACGTGAACTCATTTTTTTGGTTGATTTTTCTTTGTTAAATGGCATTTAAATATATAAAATAAATATCAAAAATATGTCTTTGTCTTACTATGGTTGCAAATATCAAAAAATTTCTATATGCGACACGGCACCAGAGTTAAGTTAGGGTTTTTCAAAATGCTGACACACCGAGCTCAAAAGGTTCGCCATCACTGGTACTGTCTCATTATCAGAATGCCCAGGGCCAAAACGCCTGAAGAAAGTGGTGCATCTGCTCTAAAATGGACTGTATTCCTGCCCTCGCCGGTTTGGCTCAGTGGATAGAGCAGTGGCCCTCAGACTGAAGGGTCCCAGGTTCGATTCCCATCAAGGGCATGTGCCTCAGCTGCTGGCCTGATCTGGGAGGCAGCCAATCGACGTGTCTCTCTCACATCGATGTCTCTCTCTCTCTCTCTCTCTCTCTCTCTCTCTCTCTCTCTCCTTCTCCCTTCCACACTCTCTAAATATCAATGAAAAAAAATATCCTCGAGTTGAGGATTAAAAAAAAAAAAGTGCTTCCTTTAACCATAAAAGCATAAATAAATAAAATGGACCATATTCCTGTTCCCAAGAGTCAAAACAGAGCTGAACTGACCTTGTCTTAGCAACAGGTTATACATCCCACGTTTCTGCTTAACCCACGCTGTCACATCTTTCTAGGTATTTTCTGAGGACAGTTAAACATTTTAAAAATATATATTTTTATTGAGTTTTAGAGAGAGAGGAAGAGAGAGGGATAGATCTAAACGTCAATTAGAAAGAAACATCGATTGGCTGCCTCCTGCACGCCCCCTACTGGGGATTGAGCTCACAACCTGGGCATGTGCCCTGACTGGGAATCGAACCGGTGACCTCTTGGTTCATGGGTCAATGCTCAACCACTGAGCCACACCAGCCATGCAGGACAGTTACACATTTTATCCACCCAGCCATGGAAATGCAGGAGGGAATAAAATTGAATTAAATACCTCCTGTGATGAATAAAGGTTTATAAGTTCCCCTTCTAGTTTTGTTTTTCTTCTAGCTTATACTCGCGTACTAGTTAAAAAAGGTTAGAAGTCAGAATATGAGCTCTGTTTGCCATTAAATCGGGACACTTACCTGCAATGAGCATGCCGTGGTTGGCGTCATAGATCATGGAGTAGATCTGCATGTCTCCGGGTCCTCCCTGGCTGTCGTGGAAGACTTGCAACAGCGACAGAGTCTGTATATCCCACACCCTGAACACCTGGGGATGAAAACCACAGCTCACCTCTGTGACACTTGGCCTCCCCCACTCAAAGCCGTTCAGAGTCTGTAATATGCTCCTAAGAACTAGCTGCAAAGTATGACTTATTGGATAGTACATACTAGTCCAGGGGTCCTCAAACTTTTTAAACAGGGGGCCAGTTCACTGTCCCTCAGACCGTTGGAGGGCCGGACTATAGTTTTAAAAAAAAACTATGAACAAATTCCTATGCACACTGCACATATCTTATTTTGAAGTAAAAAAACAAAACGGGAACAAATACAATATTTGTATTTGCATGTGGCCCGCGGGCCGTAGTTTGAGGACCCCTGGACTAGTATTTGCTCAACTCTCATCTGTCTGCTGGTTCAACTACTGTTCAGGGGGAAATAGTCTGCTTAACACATTAAGTGCCCAGTCAGTCACCGGTGACTGACACTATACTTTCCGTCCAGAAGACAAAACAGGCTGGGCACTTATCGTGTTAAAGGAACTGGATTTTTCCATCATTACAGAAGGGAGGAGAAAACATAATATCTATTATTCTTTGAGAATTTGGAGAAATAGTAAAATACCGAGTATGATTTACAGTGCAATAGAAGCCGTGTTTTTCTTTACAGCGTGGATTAGAGAATAGAGGGAAGACATGTATTAGGTGGAGTGTTTCAAATTGCTCTTTCATGACTTAAGAAGATGGGAACATCTTACTAAGTGAGGGTTTAAGACACTCCCCTTTCTCCTGCCCAGGCATGTAAGAATTACAGAAAGCAGTTTTCTTTTTTTTTTTTTAATCCTCACCCAAGGATATTTTTTCCATTGATTTTTAGAGAGAGTGGAAGGGAAAGGGAGAGACAGAGAGAAACACCGATGTGAGAGAAGCACATGGATTGATTGCCTCCTGCATGCCCCCAACCAGGGTCAGGAGCCTGCAACTGAGGTATGTGCCCTTGACCGGAATCAAACCTGGGACTCTTCAGTCCACAGGCCAACACTCTCTTCACTGAGCCAAACCAGCTAGGGCGAAAGCAGTTTTTAGGGATGGTGTAAATATAGTAAAAGTGTGGGGAAATAGGTTATTGGAGCTCGCCTTTGAGGAAGGAAAGAGAACTACGTAACTTCTCAAATACATCTTGGATTGGCAAAAGAGACTAGAAAGAATTAATTCAGCAAAACTAGGAAAAGTTTACCCTTTGTCACTTGAAATAATGGTTTTCGTCTTCTCCATTTTTTCGTCTTCTATTTTTTTCTTTTAGCAATTTACAGTGTGATTGAATTTCAGAAATAAGTGTGATTTCATCAAGGATTCTATCTCCTAGCATGCATCAGCCTTAAATATTTTTAAATTATAATAGTTATTATTAAACTATTAAATTATAATCTGCCCTAGCCGGTTTGGCTCACTGGATAGAGCGTCGGCCTGGAGACTGAAGGGTCCCAGGTTCGATTCCGGTCAAGGGCATGTACCTTGGTTGCAGGCACATCCCCAGTAGGGGGTGTGCGGGAGGCAGCTGATTGATGCTTCTCTCTCATCGATGTTTCTAACTCCCTATCCCTCTCCCTTCCTCTCTGTAAAAAAGCAATAAAATATATTTAAAAAAAAAAAGTTTCCCTATTGGGGATATAGGCTGGTCCTTCTGTGTAAACCATAAGGATGTCTGAGTCATGTGACTGAGTCATGTGACTTGGGAAGGAGCTTGGACTATACTCCCTGAAGGCCAGTATTACTCAGAGCTTGTACTTCCTTTGTTCTAGTAAACACTTTAAGAGAATTAGCTAGGACATCAAACCTTATCAGCTGCTTGTATTATTGAGTAAACAGGTGTCTTGGACTATTTATGAATTTAGGTTCAGAGCCTAGAATGACAGGCACGTAAGGGAAGAACCTAAGGGTGGAATCAAGGAGTGTGAAGAAATTGGTCTCTATTCAAATTATTTCTAATCTTATTGCTTGGCTGCGACACGTTCATGGTTGGCAGTGTTTTGACTTTAGGTGTATACCTTCTGAATTGTGGTTGGTGGAAACAGCAAGGGATGAGGCAAAAGAAGATTAGGATTTCAGTTCTAGCCTCAGTTTCCTTGTTTCTGAAATGGATTCAATAACACCAACACTCTCCACCTTACTGAGTTGATGTCAATATGCTTTGAAACCTGTGATTTTTCTATAGAGTAATTATATTTTTTAAAAAATATATTTTTATTGATTTCAGAGAGGAAGGTAGAGGGAGGAAGGGAGGGAGGGAGGGAGAGAAACATCAATGATGAGAGAGAATCATTGATTGGCTGCCTCCTGCATGCCCTACACGGGGGATCAAGCCTGCAACCTGGCCATGTGCCCTGACTGGGAATCGAACCTCAACCTCCTGATTCATAGGTTGATGCTCAAGCACTGAGCCACACCAGCTGGGCCACCTATATGTTCTTATGGAAAATTTTAGAATTTCTGTGGTTTTGTAGTCCACATTTAAAATCTTTAATCCACATGGAATGTATTTTTCTGTTTAGTATGAAGTGATGATCTGATTTCATATTTTTCCTTATATGATTAATCCATTTTCCCCAAATTTAATGAACAAAACCACCCTTTGCTCAGAGATGTGAAATGCTACTTTTTTCATACACAAAATTCTCATACACACATGAACTAATTCTTGCATTTTCTATTTGTCTCATAGGTATGTCTAACAGTTCCTGTGTTGACTACTGCTCTGTGTGATTTATTGTGGCTTTACAGTATGTTTTAATGAGCATCTGACAGGGAAAGTGTCATCGTATAAGGATATTCTCCAAAGTTTATAGGATTTTTACATATTATTATTTTTACATTAACTTTAAACTTGGAAAACTGATACTTAAATAATCCTGATTGGCATTAAATATGTAGCTTAATTTGCCGAACACTATCTTAAGAGTACAATATATTTTTTAAAATATATTTTATTGATTTTTTTACAGAGAGAAAGGGAGAGGAATAGAGAGTTAGAAACATCGATCAGCTGCCTCCTGCACATGCCCTACTGGGGATGTGCCTGCAACCAAGGTACATGCCCTTGACCGAAACCAAACCCTGGACCCTTCAGTCCGCAGGCTGACGCTCTATCCACTGAGCCAAACCGGTTAGGGCATAGAGTACAATACTCTTATGCAGTAACGTAGAACGTCTCTCTGTTGATGTTCTTAATAAAAGTACCTCAGAAAAACTTCGAACTTATCTTCTACTCATGGTGAATATTGCTTGTTAAGGTTATTTTTAGGTATTTCATAATTTTTTAAAAATATATATTTTATTGATTTTTTACAGAGAGGAAGGGAGAGGGATAGAGAGTTAGAAACATCAATGAGAGAGAAACATCGGTCAGCACACCTCCCACTGGGGATGTGCCCGCAACCAAGGTACATGCCCTTGACCGGAATCGAACCTGGGACCTTTCAGTCCGCAGGCCGACGCTCTATCCACTGAGCCAAACCGGTTAGGGCTATTTAATAATTTTTTGGCTCTTGTAAATGCTATCTGTTTGACCATTTTTTCCCCAACTGGTTACTGCTCTTACATAGAAATTTATTTTTAGAAATTGCTATTACAACCAGTCACCTTATTAAACTTATTTTAAAATTTGAAGCTGATTTTATTAACATTTTCAAGCAAATATAGTAATTCAGTCTCCTCATTTAGAATATTTATAGCTGGTTTTTCTTATTTTATCACATTGGTTAGAACACTTAAAACACTGTTAGAGCCCTAGCCGGTTTGGCTCAGTGGATAGAGAGTCAGCCTGCAGACCAAAGGGTCCCTGGTTGGATTCCGATCAAGGGCACGTACCTCGGTTGCAGGCTCCTCCCTGGCCTGAGCCCTGGTCGGGGCTTGTGCAGGAGGCAACCAATCGATGTGTTTCTCTCACATCAATGTTTCTCTCTGTCTTTCCCCCTCTCTTCTACTCTCCCTAAAAATCAATGGAAAAATGTCCTTGGGTGATGGTTAACAAAACAAAACACTGTTTGAGAAGAGCAGCAATGACAGAAATCCTAGCTTTTCCTGCACCTAATGACGATGATGTCTGTGTTGGGAGGGCCTCTTGTGTCTGCTGTGGAGGACAACACTGGCTCTCTCCCCAGAGCTGTATCCTTTTACTCTTTAAACACGCCCTTCCTTGTGCTGTAATCAGCCCAGACAGAGCAGCGGCTCATCAGCTCCTTCTCCACACTGAGAATACGTTTCTCAGTGACTGTCAGCTCTTTTAGGCAAGAAATTGTCTGGATTCTAGATTTCCTAATAGTTGATTTTAAAGAAAAAAAAAAACCCAGCTTCTTTCTTCCCGCTGTTTCCCGTTTGTTACCTTGGCCGAGGAAAGGCTGATGACGAGCTGGTCCTTCTCGTTGGTGACGACCTCGGTGATACTGAACATGTGCCCCACGAGCTTCCCCACGGGCTTGGTGCTGATGTTGGGGTGCCACAGCCGGAGCACCTTGTCGTCTCCTGGAAACACGTGGAATGGCTGCTTATTTTCTCAGGGGCACCGGGGTCACAGTGTAAAGTCTGTGTCTCCCCATTTTCTCCACCCCCAGCCCCTGGTAACCACCATTCGACTCTGTTTCCATTAGTTCAGTTTAA